CCCAGGTTCCTATTTTGACGCGAACATTTATGAAAACTTGTTTGGCACACGTTTTAAGCCCTAATCTCATCCCAAAACGCCTCTACTCATCCACACATCAATTTTCTTTGGTTTTTGGCTTAATAATTCCATGAAGAACTAAAACCCCTGGTCAAGCTTGGAAGGAACTCATTGGATTTGAGGAAATCACATCAATTGTTCATGTAATTTGGTATTTTATTGTCAAACAATTCTAGATTTTAGACTTTCTCCTTATGAATTGATTTTAAAATTGGTTTAATTTTCATTAGATCTTTCATAGAGTCAATCATGTTTTTTCTATTGTTTGATCGAAATATTTATTGAGATTGCAATTTCATTTATGTTATTGGTGGGTTATTTATGATCTTATGCTTGAAGTCTATGGTTACTTTTGATCTTACTCCAATAACAATTGTGTGAATGTATTAGAAAGTCTAAATCTTAAAATTACAATTGGAATTAAAGTGATCTTTACTGTTAAATCTTCTGATTAGAGAGTTGGGATGAAAACCTCTAATTGAGTAATAATATATGAATTGTTGATGTTGATCGATCCAACCCAATTGAGGGAATCCCAATGCTTCACTAATTTCACATATTGATATTTAAATTTCATTCCAAATTGATAAACTAGTTTCACATAACTCCCGAAACCCCTAAGCTTCTAATCCTTTGAGCATTTCCCATCTTCATGTGGAATCAACACCCCAAGGTTATAATACAATCACCGCGTTATACTTTGAGCATAATCAGACATCATTATCACCAGGTTCCTAAACAGGTTGAAACCTGACCTCAAACATCGGGTGGTTGTGCTAAATCCAGACTCCTAAGAAGATGCTTTCCACGAGGTCCTCGAACATGTGTCATTTTCGTTACGCTCATGCACGACGTGGCTCTTCTACCTTCCTCGATCTTCACCAAATGCAACCCTCCTATCAGCACCCCTAGTAACGACCCTCGGCCCAACCAAGACCAAACCTGCATAGCTGTCGAATCCTCTACTCTAACTATTCCTCGCGATACCACGAGTTGTCCGCCTAATTTGTATAACTCCTCTCAAAGACCCACATCTCAATCTTATGTCATAATTATCATAGTCGAGGACATTTTGCCTCTTGATGTCCCCATCGTACCCTCGCCCTTAACCAGAAACCTAGGTTGTCGACTCTAGAGACTAACGAGTTTCATGGTCGACCCTATTGATTCTGATAAGAATATTAACCAATTTAAAGATTACAAGGATGTCGCAGCTATCTTATCTGTTATGAATTGCATTCCCTACCTCCTTGACTCTGATTCGTGGAAACAGGCTTCTTTCACGCTTACATCCCTTGCATCGCTTTTGCAAGTTAGTAATTGAGGTGGTAGCACCATGAATGTCATCTCCAAGTCTGCAGTGGCCACGTTCTACTTTAAACCTGAACCACACCCTCAACCTTTCAAGTTCGCTTGGGTTTATTGTACTTCCCTTCTAGTTACTCATCTTTGTTTGGTACCACTTAAGTTGGGCTCATTCTTCTTAGAAAACATTTACTACGATGTCCTACCTATGGATATCACTCATATCCTCTTAAGGTATCTCTGGCTTTACAACGATGTTAAGCACTTCAAGCGTAACTACTTAAGAGTTTGTTCATAATGGCAAACCCATTCGTCTCCTTCCTACGAAGCACTCTAACTCCCGAAGAAATCAACTCCCATCTCAACATCCACAAGTGTTGCTGACACTTGAATTCAACTTTTGTCCCTTAACGACTTTGAGCGTGAGGGTCATGACACCGGGCTTGTGTTTGCCTTGGTTGCCAAACCATCTTCATATTCCAATTTGACTCCTATATCGACTTTCCACATGAGGTAAATCCTTTGTTACATAAGTTTAGTGATATCTCCCTTGTCGACCTCCTCGACGAGTTTCCTCCTTTGTGGGATATTGAACATGCCACGGGCAAGTTAAACTTAACTAGATAGAGGTTTTATTCGCCTTAACCTTAGCCCTTGTGTGGTCCCAGTTTTACTCACCGTAAAAAAAGATGGCTCTTGGCACATGTACGTCGATAGTCGTGCAATCAACAAAATCATTGTTAAGCATCGATTTCTTATTCCGCATCTTGAGTATATGTTAGATGAATTGGCAAGGTCTGTGTGATTTTCCAAGATTGATTTATGGAGTGGTTATCATCAAGTCAGAACTCGACCATGGGACGAATTGAATACAATATTTAAAACTCAAGATAGTTTGTACAAGTGAGTTATGCCTTTTGAGATGTCGAATGCACCTAGGACTTTTATGCGTGTCACGACCCATGTCTTACAACCTTTTATTGTTAAGTTTCTGGTGGTCTATTTTGATGATATTTTGATTTATAGTTGGTCATAAGAGGCACATTTTTTTTTAATCAGCTCTATTGTCCGTGTATTATCGTCAAAACAGCGGCTATTTCCCTCCCCCCACATTCACCAGATAATGCATCCTGAGATAAGGTCCCAAACTATCCTTACTCTTTGTTCGGCACGGTTATATGCTAACCCTAAAAAGTGTTCATTCCTACAATCTCAAGTTCTCTTTCTAGGGTTCATCATTTCCACCCAAGGTATTTGTGCTCATCTAACTAAAATATCGGTTATTCGCAACTAGCCTGAACCTACAACATTATTTGAGGTGTAGATATAGGTGGTGTCTTAAGTCCGGATGGTAACCCCATTGCCTATTTTAGCGAAAAACTAAATTAGGCTCGACAAAAGTATTCTACCTATGACAAGTTCTATGTCGTTGTCCAATCTCTCCATCATCGGCAATATTATTTATTGCCTCAAGAGTTTGCTCTCTATTTTGATCATCAAGCTCTTCGCTACCTTAATTCCTAGCGTAATTTAAGTAAGCGCCATGTTAAGTGGGTTGAATTTCTTCAAGAGTACACGTTTGTTCTCCATAACCTAGCTGGGTCGCAAATAAAGCAACCGGCGCATGTAATCGTATCACTACGGTGCTTCATTCTGTGGGCAATACTTTGGTGGATTTTGAGCGCCCGAATAATGATTATTCTAGTTATCCTGATTTTTGCATGATCTTTCAAGAACTCTTGGATAGTCCTTCTCAAGATTATGTTGCTTTCTTACTTAAAGATGGTTATCTTTTTAAAGGCACGAAGTTGTGTTCCCCATACCTCAGTTCGTGACTTTCTGATATGGGAACTACATGCAAGGGGTCTAGCTAGTCATTTTGGTCGAGATAAAACTATTGCTTTAGTTGAGGATCGAATTTATTGGCCTTCACTTAAAAAGGATGTTGTTGGCACTGTTTCTCGGTGTCGCCGATGTTAATTAGGCAAAGCTCAACGTTAAAACACCGGTATGTATACTCTCCTTCCTGAGACACTTTGGAAACTGTTTGGAATGACACTCAAGTTTTCATCCGCATTCCACCTCCAAATCGACAATCAAACTAAGGTTGTGAATCGTAGTTTAGGTAATCTACCCAATTGCTTGGTTGGGTATAAACCGGGTAATTGAGATATTATGTTGCCAACTCTAAGTTTGCTTACGATAATTCAATGCTGTCATAACCCATTCGAGCTCCCCATCAGCTAATTGATCTTGTCCTTTTGCCTATCAATTTTTGGCCTGTTTCATCCACTCAAGCTTTAGTTGATCATATTCTCAGCATGCATGATGAGATTAAACGTAAAATTCTTTAAGTAATGATCTCTATAAACTTACGGTTGACTCTCACCATCGGCACAAAGAATTAATGTAAGCGACTATATCGTCATACAAATTACAACTGAAAGATTTCCTAATCAAGTTGCAAAGAAACTTTGTGCTAGATCACTTAAACCTTTTCCAACTATTAAACGACTTGGAATTAATGCTTATTTACTTGAGTTGTCAACACCAATGTTATCAAAACCGGCCCAGCCCGGCCGGTTCAACTGGTAAAATCGGGAACCGGGTCCAAAACCAATCCAATCATGCCCGATTAACCGTTTATGACTAAACCGCTTAAAAACCCATCGAACCGGCCAATTTAACCGTAAACCAGTCGCGGTTTTGTGGTTTTCCCAATTTTTTTTTTTTTTTAGTTTAAAAAATTTCAATTTTATGAATGGGCCTCATAAACAACAATTCAAAGGCCCATAGAGAAATATTGGATTACATGCTCCTTTTATAGATACACCTCCCTTAAAATGGTTTCATAAACTTCTAATGTGGGATAATGCATTTTATATATGCACTTCTCTCCAATGGTTTCATAAAATTCCAATGTGGAATAGTGGCATAACAAAATTGTTAACAAATTATAGAATAATAAATCTAATTAACAAATTATTAATATGAAAAGTTAAGAAAAAAATTATTGTTTTCTCATTATTTTATTATTTTTGTATGTATTTATTGCATCCGATTTGACCCCGATTGAACCTTTTGACCCTTAACCCTTTTCGGGTCGATGATCGGGTTGATTTTCAAAACATTGGTCAACATACTCAAAATATTAGTTTTGCTTTCAATATAGTAGATTTATATCTTTATCGAGGCACATTCGAGCCTCCAGTGTTGTCATCTAATATTTCTGCTGGACAGCCTCCTCGAGCACCTGTTACCACATTTTCTCTATAAAATACCATTGAAGAGGTGCTTGATGATCAGATTATTGCTTCACGAGATGGTGGGTTTCGTAGGTTTCTCGAGCGTTGGAAGAGTCCCCCGTCTAGCGATGCTACTTAATTACTAAGGATATGTGATGCAGGACGAAATAAAGAAGAAGCAAGAAGGGAGGTATTTGATGTTAATGGGTTGGCTATAATCAGGCTTGGTCGGATATTTAAAACTGGGCAAGATGGGAAGGGGTTTGGATCGTGTTATAGATATGAGCCAGTTGGGGTTAGGAGTGGGCTTGTGTCGTAGAGAGTAGGTTGGGTTAATTGGGCTAAACGAAATTGGGCCGTGTGTAAGTAGGATTGAATGTTGAGTTGGAAATTTTTTATTTTTTTTGTGGGTGAAACTGAAATTGCAGAAAAAACTAAATTGAAATTTCCGACTGTGAAGAGTACGATGAACAGTAACGCATTTTTTTTTAGGAACTGATCAAAATACTAAAACTGAATTTTCCGACTGTGAACAATACGATGAACAGTAACGCATTTTTATTTTTTTTTAGGAACTGACCTAAATACTATAACTGAATTTTCCGACTGTGAACAGTACGATGAACAGCAACGCTTTTTTTTTTTTTGCAACTATGAAGAAACTGAAACAAAAAAATGAGATCTGCTGCTCGTACGCTAAATTTTTTTTATTCGTGCTATTCCGACAAATTTTTTGTAAGTAGGAAGAAATTTTTAGATTGGAGATGAGAGATTACCCAAGTTTAGGCTCTGATACCAAATTTGATGCAAGATAAAGAAGAGGACAGCAAGAAAGGGGAGAAACCAGAGATGAAGTAGAAATTTAGGGAAAAGGGGAAGAAAGAGGAGACGCCACAATCAATCTCAACAATTCATATTCATCCAAAACTAAAGAAAATTAAGGTTTAAATAGTAAAAATAAAACCCTAACTAGAATGGGTTTGGACCAATACAAGCCCAATTACATAAATAAGAATCCAAAACAAGAATAAAGTCCAACTAGAGATAAATAAAAATAGATGTCCTCATCAATATGTTTCGTCACCTAGATGCTACGCTTTAGGATTCCTATCTGATTATACCTTGTCGGAGTCAAGTTCTTTCAATCGGGGAGGAATGATGCAATTTGGAAAGTGTATTCAAGGCGTAGAAGAAATTAGAGCCCCATTTGATTCCCATTTTTCTCAAAATGCATTCTCTCTCTTCTTTTCAACTACACATTCTTCATTAAAATAATATTGCACATAAATCAAAAACTTTTTCAGATATTTCATCCATACATTCCCCATCAATCTACTATTTTAAAATTCATTTTTCCATAAAAATGGGTGTCAACACTCTCTAGATTAATTTGAATCTTATAGTATTTTTGTTATTAATTAATATTGCCTTTAATTGTGATTTTTAGACAATTGATTTTGTTTTCTTATTAATCCTAGATTGACTACTATATAAAGGGGGATCTTTGATTGTAATAGACACATTATTATTGAATAAATTTGCAATCTTCCTCCTAAACCTCTCTTCTTGTTCTCTATTCTTTTCCAAGTCCTTGTTCTTGATCTTGGCATCAAGTTCTTATAAGGTTACTGTAATATTGTTTGACCTACAATTATTACATGAATCTTTCAAAGGCTCATGGTTGCATACTGCCAGGCAAAGGCACGAGCCAGGATTTTGTAGAATTGTATCTCTATCAGAGAACTATTTGAGCAGCTCAGCTCATATATCTTGCCAACAAATACTAACAGAACTTATATTTATGAGGTCTGTAATTGGGTTCCAAGTTTCAACTGTGTACTAATGTTCATGGTCTAGAGATCCATGTTTCAGAAGGCAAAAGATGAAAGCAAGGAGAGGTTAATATTCCAGATGTGGGGCTCATCCCTTTTCTGTTCTAATGGTAAATACTTCAAAATGACAAATTTTGGGGATAAGTACAGTAGAAAAATGTCAAAATTCAGCTCATGTATTGTAACAACACTAATTTAGATGAGCTGCCAATGTACAGACAAAGAGAAAAGGCGCTGAGATTGACCAATAATTGCCCAAAATATAATGCCAGGTAGGCAGGAAAAGAAGATTAACTATATAGTAGTCACAATTTGAAAAATGATAAAAAGAGAATACTCAGGTTGCTTTGATCTCAAAAGGAAAAACAAAATTCATTTTGAGTTTTTGGTTTCATTTCATATCTTTAGACCTTTCTTCAGCATTTGGTGGGAGCTGTACACCTAATCACTTGAGGAATAAAAAGTCCATATTAATAGGCACGCCTCATTACAAAAGGGATAAAGATAACTGCCTTCTCCTTCTCCTAGAGAGTTTCATAGGCAGTGAGTAGAGCATTAAATTTGCCTTTGAAAATGCTGCAAACTATCAAATAAGAGTTTAATGTTTCAACTCTAATAAAATTCAAATTCTAGCATGTAGTATCAGATAAACAATTTTTTCACCAGAAAACAAGAAGCCCAACTTTGCCGGGAAAAATGCAAATAAATAATTGATTTGTTACGAGTGTTGGGAACTAGCAATCTCTCTCTTTAATTACTTGTTTAATGTTGATTCAAGAGCACATATGATACATCCACACATGATCGCGCGCACACACACACAGAGAGAGGGGGGGGGGGAAGAGAGAGAGAGAGAGTACTTTCCGCTTCCTGTCATCCTGTGGTTGGACTTCGATTGCAAGGTATGCATCAACATCGTCTGCAGTAACAAGATAAATTGGTTGCTCTGCTCCTGCCATCAACAATGTGTAAGACTAAGAAATGAATAGTGATAGAAAAGAACAAACCAGAATCAAAATTGATGATAAAGAATACCATCTATATGATTAAAAGATCCATCTTCCAAATGGCGCACCCACTGCAAGTTGAGGAATAAGGCAAGTTAAAGCCTAGAAATGGACATTCTACTTAATATGCCATCATAAAGCAAGACGTAATCCAGTGTAATTATGCAACAAAAGCAAATCGAAGCAACATGTAAGAAACATGCGAAATATGGAAAAATTATCACAGAAGCACCTCAAAATTACAACTGGTCGTCCCATTTATAGAGTATCCGCAGGCTTGAAGTTCCTGTCCTGGAAATGCTTCACCTAAAATTTGGAGACCCTCTATTGCAGGTAGTGGGTCATCATCTGCAGCTGTGATTGCATTATGTTAGAATTAGAGGTTACCAACAGCATCATAATTGATGCAGTGCATGAACAGAACAGAAATGCAATAATTCAGACCCTCAGAAAAAGAGTACGAGTTGGGATCGTCAAGACTTGTTGTATGTGGCGTTTCGGAAATCCAATTAACTGAAGGCTCTCTATCATTCTGGTTTCCTTCAGTGTCAGGGTCGTCCATATCATTCTGTCCAACAAGGTCACCAAGTGTGACTTTCTTACTGACAGTTTCTTCAATATTATACATGTAAAGCAAATCATCCTGGTTGACTGCAAGCTGTGCAGGTGCTACTTGGAATGCAATGTTGCTAAAAAGAAAAATGGAAATTAATTTAAAATAAACTGGAGAAAACCAAACAACTCACAAAAAAAGCAGATAATAAAAACAAGCCAACGACCAGTTCAATTTTGGTAAGTGGTAAATACTTCATTATTGGATGGAATAGAACTATATTCAACTTAAAAGAGTTCACAATGCCAAAATTTGCAAAAGCTACAGTATTTTGTCTGATGTTGAAACCTACTGATAAATTTCAGAAATTCTATGGAACCATCGCATGACTGATTTACTCTTTAGAAGTGCTACATATTTTTTCTCCTCCTTATAAGCTTATAAGCTATGATGTGCGGATATGGACACGTTTGTCCGGACACGCCGATATGCAATTTTTCAAAAAAAATACTGACACAACACATCATTGTCACGTTTTGATTAAATTCTTTAAAATTCTAGTACAAATTTAGTTTTATACTTGTTATTGATTTTTTTTATTGAAATCATTTAAATGTAAGCACATATTTGTTATTAATAATAACTTTGAATTAAAAATATATAATATTTCTAATAAAAAAAGAAAAATGACCACAGATGCGGATATAAACAAGATATCTTAGTTGAAGTGTTCGAGCAACAAAAAAGCTTATAAGCACAAATAAGCCCACCCAAATATGAGTTCCAATCGCCAAATTTGCAAACACTACAGTATTTCTGCTCATGTTGAAAACTATTGATCATACTGAGAACTTTTATATAATGAATACATCGACTACATTTGAGAAATTTCAGAAGCTCCATGGAACTATGGCATGAATAATTACTCTTTGGAAGTGCAAAACATGTAGGAGCTTCTGGGAATAATTTGAATGTAAGGATTCATCTACTCCACGATTCTCTCCCAGACCTGTGAAATATTTCAAGATCTTCAAGGGTTTCCAGGTATGGGGAGTAACTCTAGGGACATAAAAATCCATTGTCTATTCCCTTTTTCGCTAAACACCTTTGATATTTTACAACCTGCAACCAGTTAGAATCAGAGTGAATTACTGTCATTTTTTTCTTTGGGCTCTGCCCTTTTGGCACCAGAATTTGGAGCCTTTTTCCTGATAATATTTTCGGGCCTTCATTTGTTACAGCCCTTTCATTTCCTTCAGGCCTATATTCTTTGACACCCTTACTCCCTATCTCCCTCCATCTCTCCCCATACCATTGTACCACCAAGATTTTAGCACCCTCTCCCCATATCTGCTGATGCAAAGGGACGTCACCATCTTCTCTCCCTTTTCTGCCCATCCCCATCATGCTGGTCATAAAAGTCTCTCAGCATCCCTTTCTATTTAATTCATTATCACATTACCAAATTACTAGATATCAATATTATTTTAACATTTCAAAAATTTACATCATTATAGCAACAATAATCATCATTAAATAATTGCTAATAATTATTAACACACACAATTTTATCTTATTTTTCTTTTGGAATCTACAAATGTAATAAAAAATCTAACAACTTAAAATTTTTAAGTTAATTTATTTATGTTGCAATATCCTTAAAGGCAACTGGAGATGAAATATCACCGAAAAACTTGTGCTCATTAATCTCATTTCTAGTCATCAACAGTCTCTATCTCACTTAAGTAAGAAGTGTATGACTTCTTAGTTATAAATATAGTGCTTGTTTGGTATAGATTTTAAGCCAATTAAAATCAATTTTTTGACTGTCATTTCACTGTTCCAGCAGTCATTTTTGAATTCTTCTCTTACAGGTAGAACCACTTTATCTCTAACGGTCAAAAAATCAATTATCAAAATCCCTACCAAACAAGCTCATAGTTTACCAAAATGAACATTTAAAATCACTAAAAGTTAACTTTATTGATAAGTAACAAGTTTTAAACTAATCCATACAACCTCAAAATAAAGAGAGCTTTGGAGGCTTCTAATTTTTCTTATAGGCTAGAGCTTTAAGGCTGGGCAAGTTTTCTATTGTTTAAGAATATCAACATCTTCATTTTCAATTATTGTACAACCCAATTTTGAATCAATGACCTCAATTTTTCCTTTTCAATCAAGAAAGAAAAATGTTGACAAAAACAAAATAGTATGATTAGGTCGTCGTATTCTTTTACCTCACAGGAAAAATTGTTGGGCATCAATAGCGTCAGTATCTTCAAGAGACTCTAAAAACATGATACTCTTTATTTTAAATAGTCAGTACTTAAATATAAGCTCCAAAAGACTCTAATTTTAAGTTTTTAAAATAAAGAGTAGGTTTAGCTCCCCTAATTTGGATAACTTTATAATTATTGCATTTGATAAGCTAAAGAATTCAATACTCTGCTTCTTAAATTATTCAAATCATAATTGATTCGATTGGCCATTAACATATGAAAAAATAAGTTGAATAACAGATGAGAAATTGTTGCATATGTGGCTCATATAGAATGAAATACAGCTTCCCTTGATCAAATAGGCCGATCCCAGAGCGAAGTGGAGTGGAGTGGAGTGGAGTGAGGGGAGCGTAGCGCACCGAACGGAACGGAGCTGAGCGACGGCATCGGCCTTGCGCGGATTTTTATAAATAATATGTTATAACCTTATTTTTCACCATCTAATAAAATCTCCGCTTCGCTCTCATGGACGAAGGCACACAGACGAACCATGTAAATTCTTGAGTTAATTTCTCTATTTCATCTCTTTATTATTGCACATAAAATCCAACAGAAATCAATAAATGTTTTTTTTTTTAAATAAGCAAAACAGAGAACAAAAAAATTTACTCTAAATTTAAATATCCTCTCTATTATGCATAAGATGCTCTTAAACCATTACTCTAATTATGAGATTAGATTAATTCTAAGAAACAAGAATGAGGACAATGGATGGTTCTCTTAAACACAAAAATAGTGCTCGTAAGAAGTCAGATTACCATATGCCAGCAAGATAAAAAGTGTTAAACCACTCGACCTAAAACGATTAAAAAAGATAGGGCCACATATATCATTGAATTATTGCCTTCAACACATCCCCTCATAAAATTCATTTTTTTTTATTAAAGCCTAACACGTGCAAAAATTCATTTAAATGGAAGGAAGCTAGACTTGATCTAAAAGCTTCAATTATTAGATAAGGCCACGTGTATATCATTTAAATATTGTCTTCAACAAAAAGAAAACTAGATGGAAATTTATTAAGCTCCAACAGAAAGATCATACTCCATTTTACCATAAAAGAAATTATTTTCACCCCATGCAAGGACATCATAAGTAGCTAAGTCATGACTTCAAACATGCCAGACAGCAGAAAAAATTTATGAAACAAGAACCCACCACCAAAAGCGGAAGGTTGAGATTGTACATTCAGTTCACAGTAGCAGTCTCCATTTGACCAGGCTCACCTGCTTGAGAGAGGCGAATACCTCCCCAAGTCATCAGGCTCCGAATTTTTTGTGACAGCATCACCTAGAGCCCTCTGATGATGCCCCATTAGATCTCTATCCATTGTTGTATGAGGAGCTGAAGATGTTATTTTTCGATTAGAATACACCGGCTGTGGCGCCAGTTCCAGCCCAATTTTCATCTGACAGGGATAAACGAGAGTTTGAGATATACATCATAACACCTAACATGAGGTGTACTTGATAGTATGTGACCACATAAAATGTCAGCCCAACCTTAGGATGAGATAGTGATTGAGGAAAGCTAGAGGGATTGACTTCAGAACGCCATGGTGCTAGCTGGTACTGAGACTCCTTCAGCTTTGCCTATAATAGTTCAAGGGACGAAATACGATATAAGAAATGGAAAAATGCACGGATTTCCATCATCACAAAGACCACCTAAATGTAAATCTCTTCGAAGTGCTTCAAAATCTCTATAACATACCTCAGTAACAAGAAGCTGTTCATGCAAATGTCTAAACAAAACCTGAAACAAAGGTTCCAAGATAAATCCAGTGAATGAGACAATCTAAAGAAGCTTCCTCCACCAGAATATACATATTTCAATTCCACATAGATTTAGAGTTGACAACAAGCCGAGGCTTGTGCATGCTTGGTGCTTTATTATTTTTAAAAGGCTCAAATCCAGCTCCTTGAGAGGAGCCAGAATTCTCTGTTTAAAAATTCAGCTCATATAAAACATGCAAAGCTTTCACAAATATTACATAAGTAAGGTTTCAATATTAAATATTAAAAATCCAAGTGAAGAAGGAAAAAAAAGGTAGTGATTTGGTTACTAAGAAATGGAACAAAACACCAAAGAGGGTAAAGTTCATGTAACAAGATATGGCCCTCATTGGAGAGGGAAAAAATAAAATAATAAAAATAATAAATAAATAAATTCAAGAATTTTGAAGGAAGTAAAGGACAAAGATGTGGATAATAGCATAATGTGGAATTATATGACTAGTAGCACTAGAATCATAGCACAAGGTATTAGAAGAATCTAAGGATTAAAAACCACCAAATAGAAAAACACGCTGGTGGAACAAGAACATCTGGATGGTAATTAAGATTAAAATAATGCTATAGAAACTTACAAAAATATTAAAATGTGGAAGCATCTTAAGAGTGGATAGTATTACTCTTAACCTTCCGCTTAATGTATTTCAGCATTTGAACGCTGTCGCACTTTTTGTCCCCAACCTATTTTCTTTGGTATCATTATCTTAACATTCCACTCATTAGTGCATTTCAACCTCACAAATACCATTAAAATTTAGTGAAAAAAAATTAAATAAGAAACGAGGAAAACCAAAATCATCTTCCCCAAACATGCTTAGCCCTCACTCCCAACCAACCTCTACGCCCACCACCAACCAACAGCAACCCAACACCATTGCCACTACCAACTTCTGCAGTCGTAGCCCCCAACCACCACCAGTAGCAACAGTGCTAACAAAAACTGAACTGCATTTTCATATGAATCATTACAAAAAACTTACACACACATATACAAAAAGAAAGAGGAGAATTAGAGTAGGTATTAATAATTTTACCTTCTCATCTCAACTTTTGAGTTTGCGACATCTTAAGATTTAAAATGAGAGTCAAATAGACCTTTTAAGTTGGAGTTTGCGTGCAAGACACTGAGATAACGATGGAGTTGGAGCTGGGTTTTTCTGTGCAATGGAAAGCACTGTGTGACCACTACCTGTTTGGGTATGGGGTTGGTGGTTGTAACTCATTTCAATAGAGTTACCGTGCTAATTATTTAGGGAGGTGAACCAGGCTTCATGTGTTTGAACAAGCTTCTTTTTAAAGCCTATTTTAACCCATATTTTGTTATGGGTCCTTACTCGTAAACTTCTGATTATGATTTGATTAAATCTCATAGTGCACGACTTTCTACAAAACTGCAGAAACTAAATGGGGCCTTCGTTGACACAGAAAGAGATTGTATAAACAAGATCACAGCATTAAACAGTTCATCCACTCTCTACTCCTCGCATCTGACTCCTCCTAGCAGCGACCTTCTTTGTCGCAGTGAGGAACGAAGACAGGAATAGTGCAGAAGATGCAGGGGACGGGAGGGGCATCCTGGTGAAGAAGGCTATTTCTTTTCTTTTCTTTTCCCTCTCCCTATTAACTTGTTTGTTTGTTTGTTTGAATCACAGGGGAATAATGTCTTTCATTAAATTAAAAAACATCGAAACTATGAGTGGGACGTACTACGCTAATAAGTGGAAGGTTGAAGGAAATAATGCCAAGTAGAAAAGGACGGATAAAAGTGCAGCAACAGCAAGGTTGGGGACAAAATGTGCAATTTAGCCAAAGTATAAGTTAGCTAACCAGCAAAATTGACAAGGCATTAAAAATCAAGTCAACTGTTATTAAACAAGAAACCAAAGAGTTCTTTCTAATAAAAATCACAGAAAAATAGAGGAACAATTTCGACGAATTAATGAACAGCATAATGTTGATATTGGAAACTTGTCAAACTTCACTGCAGATACAACTCTGAATTATACTAGAAGGAATTCAAGTTTCGCGGGGGACAGGGAAGCTTTGAAGAGGATAAAGATGAGGAAATCAATTGGTTGAGACGGAACTCCTATGGAAATAAGGAAGTGTTTGGTTGAGGTGAGCATTACATAGTTTGCAATTCAGAAACCTCGGATGAATCTCAGAATAAGAAACCCACAAAATGAGAAGAAATAGACTAACACCTAAGTAGGCTAAAAGGTTAGACCACACTGCCAACATAATCATTCCTGAATAAGCACAAGGAAATATGTTATTACAAAATTTGTGATACGAGAAAGGTGCAGAACAAGAAGAGCACATCTAGATATCATTATGCCATAAAAGTTGGACCAATCATTTTTCTGGAAAAATCATTCCAATAAGCTTATGACATTTGGGTAGAAAATATTTGACAAATTCAAGATTCGATGTACAAGAACTACACTGATGTTTTCCATGTATGACCAGTATTCCAAAATGGACTTGATCAACAAAAGTAATTAGTTTCCAAAATTTTGAGCCAAATATTATACTTGAAAGTGATTATTAGTGATCTTGTATGACCAGTATTCCAGAATGGACTTGATCGAGCAACATTATCGCAAAATTTCATTTGATTTCAATATTCGATCATTAATTCGAAAAGACCCACCCTAACAGTAAAACACCACAAAACAGTCAGAACAAATTAGAAAGGCTCAAAAGTTACATTTCTGCATGTTCTATTTGCAGCTACAGATCCATCTAAGAGGAGACGATTCAAGCCATCTAATACTAAAATATGCCAGTAGTCCAACCCAAATATTTAAAAAGCCCACAAGGTGTTGTTCTGGTTACTGACAAGGGTGAGGGTCAAGGGTAGCAGTTTCATGCTTCACAATTTTGATTAATAAAGAACACTAGAAAAAAAGAGTCATCTATTTCATTATAAGAAACAATTAATAATGCTACTCATATTAACCTTGATATTACTGACAATAGATTGAGCATCGGCAAGAGGCGGCTGAAGAGAATACTCAGCAAGAAGAGGCATTAAAGAAGATACAAACATTGATCTTTCTTGCTGTGCAGCCTGAAAGAACCAATATATGAGCCTGAGAATATATTTGGTCACATTTGTAAAAGGGGGAAGGGAGTGGTTATAGCTTGTCCAATCTTTCACCCATGTCATTAAGTAGTCTTACTCTTACACAACACATCATAAAAGTTTTATAATAATTGAAAGTAAGTCCAAAAAAACACATTAGATTTAGAACTTAAAGAGCAAATTTGTGGCCTTTATGCATGCAGTTTGTGCTTAAGCATGTTTTTATGAGAGTTTACACAGGTGCAAATTGCAAGACCTGAATCAGTGAACACAAATATGAAATTTTTGATTTCCACGAAAACCAAAAGACATGAATTTCAATTTTTATATATATGTAAGATATCCACGAAGCATAAACATTGAAAATATCAGTTACTTCAAATGATACTAATAGTAAGATGTCGTTTGAGTAATCTTAAAAATTACCAGCAAATAATGTTACTTTTTCGTTATTACGTGGTAGATCTTTCTTAAATATGTATATTCTTCAAAACTGTGCTTATAAGAACTAATAAATTTGGTAGAAATCAATACTTATGAAGCCAAAAAAAAAATAAAAACAAAAAACACTAACTTAGATATTTAAATATTTAATTTAATATAATGATTTATCTGTTAAAATGTTTCTTCAATAGCATAATAATAGGAAGTATAGTCAGGATAGAGATGGAAATATTTTCAAATCATTCAGGGTATTAGAATCATTTTATTCGTAAGGAGCATAAAAGTTCCCTAGTTCCCTACTTTGCCCTTGTTTGGTGGAAATTAAAATCTAGATTTTAATCTAACTTTAAGTCAACAATTAATTTTAACCACATTTCATGGATCCACAACTTTTTAATCACACATTTCATCAACTATTATCAAAAACTGCTAAAAATCTGATTTTAACCTCCACCAAACAAGGGCTTTATCTCTACAATACCATCAGTATTTTTTCACAAGTAATGTTTTTCCGTTTATGTCAGATTAAAACATAAATTTTAAGCAAACGAAGTCAAAAACTATTGGTAAGTTTGACCCACTTATAAGATGAGACAAGCATGTTCTAACAGATCAATATTTATGATTATCCTCTCATTGATGAAATTTTAGTTCCTAGAGCACTTTGAACATAACATCATATATGTGAGAAAGGTCAACCAAAAGCTGCATTCAATCGTGAGACAATGACATCAAAAAAATTTCAAGCCAAAAAAGGACTGAAACTAGGCAATATAAAGGAGGTGTAAAGAAATAAAAATAATACCTGTAATGCATATGTAAGACGCACATTTTCCTCCATTAAATCTTGTCTGTAGGAAATTGCTTTAGATGCAGCATTAACAAGATCTTGATGTTGCTGATCAAAGGCCTTCAGACAAAATTAAATGCACGAAAAGCTTGTCAATATTCCAAAAACAAAGTGAATGAATTTCTTAAAAAGGTTATAGAACACAAATCCTACTCACCAACCGCATATATGCAATGCGCTTCTCTAGGACATATTTCTCATTACGAATTTGTGATTCCTACAAAAGAGAGTAATTAAAGCAACAAAAAAAGGAACTTAAAAAAGGAAAAGACATAATCACAGAGTACTGCAAATTACGCTCTCTTTTCTACCTTCATCGAGAATTCTGCAAGATGTTTCTTCAATTGCAAAATCTCTTCTTCATGTTCTTGAACCTTCGCAACAACATTCTACACATATGCATGCAACAATGATGCTAGGAGCAAAAGGATTATATATGACTAGTAGCTTCTAGACTTTGCACTGAAATTTTCCAAATGATATTTCTTTCTGGTTGTCTTATGATACCTGCTTCGGGCTATTAGTATTGTTGACATCCTCAATTGAAATTAAACCTTTTCTAGAAGCAGAGCACCATTCTTCTTGGATTTGGTACCTAATAAAAGCAGTAAATCTCCCATGTATTCGTATCATGGTAGCTAAAAGAAATCTCACATGCAGACCACATTGTGCACATTAGTTATTGAAACTGATGTACCTGCTAGGTGAAAACGTTGTAGAAGGTGACAGAGACTGAGAAAAGCAAGAATTATCTGAGGCCAACTGACCACCGGGAAGCACTTTTAGAGACCCATTAAGCTTGCCATTTTCAAATTGGTTTACAAGATGTGCGTGCATGGTACCATCCATATCTTTTCTAATCAAATCTTTTTGGAGAACGGCTGTTTCTGATAAATCATGAACAGAATTGAGTTCTATTTCTCCATTCCCATCTATTTGATTTTCAGAACCCAAAAATAATTGATGAACTCTACGAGGATCATTAACATGGACATCCCATAGATCAACTGAATGAGGAACTTGGGATTTTAGATAACCTGATTTCTGCAAAGGATAGGGAAATTAGATGATAAAGAGATCGAGTCAAGTTTTTCATACATGAAGACAAGAAACTTAATGTGCAAGGGTCCATCAAGTAAGTATTAAAGAATTAAACAAGAAATATTTACTTTTCAAATTACATTCCATTTCACATAATAAAGATATAGAGCCCAATATTATTAAATTTAAGCAGGCGTAACTTCTGTTTCCATTTTAATGCATAACGGCCCGTTCTTTAACAATGTCCTCTTTTTTGGAGGTTTTTTTGCTATGTTTCACAAACACGGGCACTCAACGAATACAACATAATATGGAGATGTCGACGCATGATTTATCAAACAGGATACATTGGGGATATGTTAATTTAGATTCTTTAAAATGGTATTATTTATTTATTAAATCTGTATGTTTATACTTTTATTTATTATTTTATTTATTTATTTATTATTATTATTATTGTTCATGAAATCTTTTAAATCTATGAGTTACTATATGTTACATAAAATAACTGAAAGTGAAACTATATATCACACTACTTACGAAGGAAAAATACAAACAGTACATTTCTTGGAGTGTTCGAGGAGTGTTGGTGATCAACACAACACGACATGACACATAGGACACGCCGCACAAGGAGGAGCATCGGTGCATGTAGGTTTTTGGTTGTCCATGATAAATTCAAGCCACAAAAGCAAGATCAAAATTATCATATTTCACAAAATCATTTCAAGATGCAAAAACAGTATCAGAAAATTCTTCTCTAATTGTCCATGAAAGGAACACCGTCAAAACCTTAAACAAAGTAGTAACTAAATGAATAGGTCATGATCCTTGCCCTTAACTGACATTGCCTCTCTAGTCTCTAGTAACAAGATAATGAACTTACAACCAATATTTCACAAAATCACAATTGGCATCTTTCCTAGAATGTAGATAAAAAGTGATATTATTTCCATTAGCCCTGGGACTATATCATAAGAAGCATGGATACGGATATGTAATTTGGATACGATAAGATACAAGTACGTCGATACGGATTTTTTTAAAAATTAAAATTAAAATACACGGATGTGTTATAGAACTACATAATTTCATTAATATAAAAAATAAAACAAAAGCGTCATATAAAAATAAAATAAAATACTTAAACATTTTATCTTAGTCCTTAATTGTCTCAACTTCATTTTCTTCAGTATCGCATTAAAAATAACTCTCCATTCTATGACTCGTCTAATGATTAGCAACATCAAACAGTCCAATACCTTTAAAAGTATCAAATGAGTCTACAACATTATCCCACATTTTGAATTCTCCTTTTGAATAGAGATCTAATTATTTAAAAAAGACACAGATGACAATGAATGAAAACAAATTCTTCAGCTCGTTGTGCAGTTAGTTTATTCCTCCTCATAGAGAGTACATACTCCAATTATTTAATACCAGCTACCATCTGTTCCAATAAATAAAAAATTATTTATCAACTATTAACACACTTTCACATGTATTAGAAGATTAAATAATATTGTATATTCCCAATAAAAAGTCTAGTTTTTAGGTAATTTAAAATTCTAACGGTGTATTTTCAATAAATATTATTAATATTCAATATAGTAAAAAAATCCAATCAATGGTCAATAACAATGAGTTTTTTTTTTTTTTAATGACCGTGAGTGTCCGGACCAACTTACGCGCATCTCGAGTAATCCCAAAGGACCCTAAAATTTATAGTCAAGTACTCACCTCAGTAGCCCTACGAGGACTCGAACTGGTAACCATTAAGGAACAAATCCAAGGTTTGACCACTGAATTATCTCTCAGAGTTAATAACAATGAGTTTTAAAAGAGTTTAAAATCGGTAACACTATTCTTCAACTGTCCTAATGTATAAGATATGTATCGAAAATAATTAAAAGATATGTATCCGATACCATCGAAAATTTTAAAAATGTAAAAATATAAAAAATAATTAGAAACGTGTATCCGGTACGTATCAAATGGTATCAGAGTGTATCCAAGCTCGGATACATGTCAAATATGGGTACATAATGAGTTTACAAGTATCGATACTTCTTACACTATATCCTTCACTATTTCAAATTCACCCATCTTGACCTCTTCATCAGTATGGTCACTCTCTAAGCATTAGGCCAGAACACCCAAGATAGGACTTGACTCTGACACTTCAACTGCAAAAACATTATTATTCACTTCCACAAAATTCAGCATCAACTAGTTTTTATCTAGTGGCACCGTCTAAAGCTAGAGAAAAATAGTTCAACAGTAAACTTAATCTACTGCAGTTGGAAATAATGGCGTTCTCTAATGTTTTTATGATAAGAAACATAATTTATTATTTATATAAGCAAAACTACAAATGTTAAGAGGATAATAGATCCTCTAATTGGATGCAAGAAATCTGTCGTGCTCCAAATTCAAAGGTTCATTTGCTCTATTTCCACATAAATAAATATATATTTACCTAGGTTACCATATATATGATTTGAACCGTTTTATCTAATTATAACCAAAAATGCATAATGTGAATTATAGTTAGTTATGAATAGTGCAGGTACAAGATATTCCAAAGGTTCATTTGCAGCCTATTACCACGTGAATAGGTATATGTAGTTACCTCGATTATCTTTACCAA